ATGTGCTTAATTAAGGATTGATTAAGTAGCTTTAAGCTAAACTTAGCAGGAAAACCATCCGTTATATGCCGTTAAGGGGTTGGAACAGAAAAATTAAACCAAACGCAAACTGACTCCTGAGAACACTTGGTAGCTTAAGAGCAAATTGGCCTTAAAAAAGAAAGAAAGAAATACCATACATCAGTACTATGTTCTTTTCAAAGTCACCTGAATGAGACCAAAGATAAGGGTGGAAGGGGGCAAGGTAACCAAATGAAGAAGATGCAACCACCAGCTAGCTGGTAATGATGAGAATGTTCACATATTGTGAAAACAGAACTAAAATCACTGAACAACTGGTGTAGATTGTTGAATGCTGTGGACACCTTCACCCAAAATGCAATGAAATGTTATTTTAGAAAATTAAACCAGCTAACTTTTAGAATCAGTTACTATTTTGGGAAGACACACTTGCCTCCCATTGTTCCGGGCAAGCTAGTGACTGGGTAAATTTATGGTAAAGGTGGCAACCATGGATGGGTCAGATTTAATAACATACGGCTTTAAAGCCAACTTCAAAACATTTAAAAAATAAATGGGATGCATTTAAAGTACGATTCGTACAACAAAGAAGAAGACTTTGTTCACAATGGTCATAAACCGAAAACCCCATCTCAGCCCTGGAGTCGATTCCGATTCAGGGAGACTCTATCGGGCAGGATAGAACTGCCCTGATGTGCTTCCTCAGGGGTACTCCCTAGGGCAGGATAGAACTGCCCTGATGTGCTTCCTCAGGGGTACTCCCTAGGGCAGGATAGAACTGCTCCGATGTGCTTCGGAGACTAACTCTTTATGGGAGTAGAAACCAAAAACCAAACTCACTGCCATGGAGTCTATGCTGACTCCTAGAGAACCCATCGGTTTCTGGGACTATAACTCTACGAAGTAGGAAAGCCCAGTCTGTCCCGCAGAGCTGCCGGTGGTTTCGAACTGCCAACCATTCTGATCCCAGACCAACAAGTAGCCCCTGCCACCAGGCTCCCAAACTCCCATAATCTCACTCTATGCCAAAAACCACTTAATAACCTTGGCAGTGAATTTCATAGATGAGGAAACAGCTCTCCCAGCAAGTAAGGAGGAGAGTCAGGGTTCAAACCCCATGTAGCCATCTCCAGGATCTGTGCATGTCCACTTCATGAGGGACGCAGAGCCGGAGGATCCCATGTTCCTGATGGACCCCTTTGCCATTCACCGCCAGCATATGAGCCGGATGTTGTTGGGGGGCTTTGGATATAAACCCTTCCTCAGCATCACAGATGGCAACATGCCAGGGACCAGGCCTGCCAGCCGCAGGATGCAGGCTGGGGCTGTCTCCCCCTTCAGGATGCTGGGAATGTCCGGTGGCTTCATGGACATGTTTGGGATGATGAATGACATGATTGGGAACATGGAACATATGACCGCTGCAGGCAAGTGCCAGACCTTTTCGTCCTCCACGGTCATCTCCTACTCCAATACCGGGGTTGGTGCTCCCAAGGTCTACCAAGAGACGTCAGAGATGAGCTCGGCACCAGGCGGGATCCAGGAGACATGGAGGATTGTCCGGGACTCGGAGAGTGGCCTGAAGCAGATGTCCATTGGGCACCACATCCGAGACAGGGCTCACATTCCCAATGCTCCCGAAACCAATGCACAGGGGACCAGGAGGAGAGGCAGGACTACCTCAGCCTGGATGAGAGTGAGGCCGCAGCCTTTGATGGCAAGTGGCTGAGGGGCCTCCCCACCTGGCTATAGAGGGACCTGAGGACTCCCCGTCCAAAGGCCTGGGGTCCTCTGCCTCTCTTGTACAACCGCGAGAACTTGCCCCTCTCCAACTCCCACCCCCAATTTAATATTAATTAATAGGCAAGCCGGCCCCCACCTCTCCCTGGGGGCCTCAGGGCAAACGTTCACAGCCCCTCGTACCTACTTCTAATGTACGTCCCTTACCATGATGTGTTCACTGACTTGATTTTTCATTTTGCTGCTCCACCTCGCCGTCCCTCCCCTGCCACGCAGAGAAGGAAAGGTCTGTGGAGGTAAGCTCTGGGTGCAGGGGCCTCCTGGGTCTTCATCCACCTCTTCCTCAGAGCCCTGCTGTAGGGGCCATTGGTCCTTGACCAGGACTGTGGAGGGAGAGGAGTGGTCTCATTCCCAACTCCTTCCCAGCCCGCCCACCCACACACATAACAAAGGTCTACCCTACACCCTCCTCAGCCTTTATTTTTGATTTGTGCAACTTGTAACTAGGTGTTTACGGAATAAAGAAGGATGGAAAAAGAAAAACAGAAGGAAAAAAAAGGAGTTGTTTCTACCCAGACTAACACAGTGGGCTTTCAGTAATTAAGCCTTTGGAAAGCCAAAGTTATAAAATTTTTTGACTGCACACAGATATGCAGTCCTAACCCCCTTGTTCAAGGGTCAGCCGTATTTGCCCACGTTTTCATCACTCGTAGCTCAGTGTGCCCTAAGGATTGTGTCTTCCTTGCCTTTTCCCTTTTCCCAAACTCACTGTCATTGAGTGCACTCTGATGCATAGCAACTCTATAGGGCACGTTAGAACTTCTCCTGTGAGCTTCCAGGGCTGTACAGTAGAAATCCTCTTCCGTCTCCCACGGAGCTGGCTGGTGGTTTCATTAGCTGCTGAGTTAGTTAATTGTGCCACCCTGGCCGATAAACACATGTGGGGCTAATTGAAAGGTGGAGGGATAAATGGGTGGTGAGCCTCGCCTTTCTAGTTCTTGGGTCTCTTGCTTTGTCATGGTCGCACCAGGGTGCAGCTGCCTTAGCAGTTCCCTGCTTCAGCTTGCAAGATTGACTTCCTACAAGACACCCCCAAGGAGAAGCCGCATGGACCTATCCCGATGCAGCCCTGGGTGCTGGAGCAGCCGTGTGGAGACCCCTGCTAGTGCTGAGATGCTTATTCGTTCACTGACTCAGCTTTCCTCCTGCAGTCGGCATTATTGTCTCTGTTTTGTGAGGTGGAGGACTTTGTGGACTGGTGTTGGGTTAATGGGTTAATGTTGGACTTGTGGGCTTGGGCAGCATTGGGTTGGGATGTTTTCGTGATGCACACTTTCTTTACATAAAACTCTCATACATGAGTTGCTGTGGATTTGTTTCTCTAAAGTACCTAGACTAATACAACTGCCCAGTGTGTAACCACTAGGCCACTAACCCACCCCTGTACAATCGCTTATCCTAGATATTTCATAGAAGTGGGTTCATACGGTTTTTTTTCTTTTGTGACTGATCTATTTCACTAATCAATGTTACTGCATATTTTGTTACCACAATGAAACAATGAAAAAACAAACTAGACCTCGATCAGGAACAAAAGACATTCCAGTTGGCAGTGGCTTGGATAAAAAAGAGCCTTTCAGGTACAACGGTCAAGCACTTGGCTGCTGACTGAAAGGCGGTTTGGACCCACCTGTGGCACCCCAGGAGAGAGATCTGGTAATTAATGTTTCCTTCCCTCTAGAACAGTGGTTCTCAACCTCAATCCTTAATACAGTTCCTCATGTTTTGGTGACCCCCAACTATAAAATTATTTTCGTTGCTACTTCATAACTGTAATTTTGCTGTTATGAATCGGGCAACCCCTGTGAAAGGGTCATTTGACCCCACAAAGGGGTTGCAACCCACAGGTTGAGAACCACTAGTTCTAGAAAATCCTACAAATCAATTCTACTCTGTCCACATGGGGTACCTACAAGTCCAAATCGCTAGTGGTCACGGGGAGGAGAGGAGCCAGTCAGGGTGCAGTATAGCACTGATGAAACATACAACTTTCCTCTAGTTCTTTAATGCTTCCTCTCCCCATTATCATGACCCCAAGTCTACCTTACAAATCTGGCTGGACTAGAGCATGTACACTGGTACAGATCAGAGCTGGAAACACAGGGAATCCAGGATAGAGAAACCCCTCAGGACCAATATTGGGAGTAGTCATATCAGGAGGCTAAGGGAAAAATGGGGGAGATAAGGGAACCGATTACAATGATCTATCTATAAACCCCTCCCAGGGGAATGGACAACAGAAAAATGGGTGAAGGGAAGCAGTGGACAGTGCAAGACATGGAAAAAATAATAATTTACAAATTATCAAGGGTTTGTGAGGGAGAGGAAATATATGAAGCTGCTATCAAGGGCTCAAGTAGAAACAAAACGTTTTGAAAATGATGATGGCAACAGATGTACAAATGTGTTTGGTACAGTGGATGGGTGGATGGCTCGGAGCTCCTAATAAAATGATTTTTTTAAAAAAGAAGGTAGAAAAATGACACTTCGGGTGAGATTCTGAGGATGGTTATTCTGTGGCTCGGGGTCCAGACTAGAAGTGCCCCAGGGGCTTTCCTGTCACCTTTATGTGGGGCCTTGCTGTCCACGAGAAGAATCACTTGTGGAACTAAGACCTTGATGCTCGCAGCCTAGCTCTAAACCACTATTGGCCACCAGGGCTCTTCCGGACTGTGCTGGCGGCACCGTTATTAATTCTCCGAGGCTGCGGATCTTATCTTTATGCCTGTAACTCTTTTTAAACCATCTTATTGGGGGCTCGTACAACTCTTACTACAATCCATCCATCCATCCATGGTGTCATGCACTTTTGTACATTTGTTGCCATCCTCATTCTCAAAACATTTGCTTTCTACTTGAACCCTTGGTATCAGCTCCTCATTTTTCCCCTCCCATGCCTGTAACTCTTAATTCATAATTGAAGTATAACTTTTTAGTTTAGGTCCCATTTCTAGTGTACCTCTCAAAAGGGTATCCTAGACGACTCCCTGGACTTGCGTCTGTAGCCCTGGGTTTAACTCCTACATCTTAGCTGACACAATAATGCACTGTATGGGGCAGGGGCCATAAGCAATACAACCAGATTTCCAAGACGCGGTTAGGTTTACTCGTGTCGGGCAGAGCCGGAAGGGAGCGATTTCTGACCGATTCTCTACGTGGGTGTTCCAGGTGGAAGCGCGATGTCGGTCATTGTTCACGGCGCCAAGGAAACCTATGCTCAGCTCCAGCATGCTCCACATCCTCGGCGAGGCGTCGGTCAGAGGCCCCAGCCGGGGGCGCTGGTCTTCTCTACTTCCGGTCCTGGCCCCTCTTCCCCAGTTGCTAGGAGACGTGACGTCACCGGAAGCCAGGACTGGGATAGGCTGAGGCCCCGGGAAGCCGCTCCCGCTCGGCCACCTCCGCGCCGGCGCCGACTCTCCAGCTGTCTGGTAGGCCCGGAGGTGAGGGTCCCGGGCAGGCGGAGCTGGCCGCCGCCCGCACGTCCACTCGCCCACCGGCTCCC